AATGGGAGAATCTGTTCTCTCAGAGCTGACAAAGGCTCTGCTCCCTGGGCAGTGCAGGGTGTTGGGGAAAATGAAATGGAGGTGGTGCAGGTAAATGGGAATACAGCATTCCCTTTGTGTGGAAAACAGTGCCAGTGCTTATCTTTGTTCAAATCAGTTATTAAAAAAATCTGGTCAAGTGATAAATACCTGCAGTGCCCTCTTATGTGTGAGAGGAAGAGAAACAGAGGGTTCTTCAAGACAGTGATAGTACCGAGGCTGAAGATCCTCTGCCCATGGTAACTGTTAACCAGGAACTTCGTCCTCTGCAGCTGAAATCCCTAAACCCAGCTGTGTTCAACTATGCCTACACAGGATAAGTGAGGATTTTTATGGATTTTTTTAAACTTAAAACCGGGTCCAGAACAACAGAAGTTACACCGATGTGGGGAAAGCACTCTCAGTGTAAGAGAAATGCTCACATGGATTTTCAGTGTATCTCTCTCAGTAAGTTACTTTTCCCTATATAAACAAGTCCTTGTGCTGAAATAACAAGGTTGCTTTTATTGTACTGACTGGGATCCAGGAATAATATGTTCTGGGGTTTTGTTCCTCAGATACATCATGTATGGAGTCACAGAATTCTGCCCCTCCGAGATGAACCTGACTCTGATTCCTTTCAGGAAAAGCAATCTGAAAATCTCCAGGGGTTTTGGAGTAGTCGTTGCAAATGTGTCACTTTTAAAAATGATAAACACTTAGGAATTCTCTGCGGGTGAGATTTGTAAATCTTGTCATAGAAGATACTGAAAGCACAGCAAAATTCTATATATTTCCTGATTTTTTTGGTGTGAGGGTTGCTTTGCATTTGTTGGCAGCTACTGGATGTGTTTGCAGATGGAGTGGTGCATTTTGTGCTTGGAAATGTGGGATTTAGGGGCTCCAGGGTTCTCTGTAGGACAGATACTGAAGATATTAGGCATCTAATCATGTGTGCTACAGGAAATTTTACTTCACTCCTTGGTGTATAAATTTTAAGGACCAAACCAATTGGGGCATGTTATGAAAAAATGAGCCCAATAAAACAATAATTAAGACCTGTTAGAGCCATGTAGTTACTGGCAGCAGTGTAAAGGCTCAGAATTTCCATTCTTTTGGGGAAACTCCTTTAAACAGTCAATTTTTTCACCATACTTCAGGTCACTCTTGTGGCAGCAGCATAACATTAGTGCTGCATTATTTGTTTTAAAATAAACATGTCAAAATTTGAACTCCACAGTTGGAAGACAGCAAAGGAGAGGGAGTTAAAACCTTGCCCATAGCCAGTTTATTGCTTTAAAATTATTGACTCAGCTGTTTTCATTTGTGGAAGGTTTAGGAATTGTTGGAAGCAGCATAAATCAGCCCCTTGGCTGGTCCTGAATGAAAGGATCTGGTGTGCAAAGCACACGGTGTCGCTTCAGTTGGGGGTTGTGGTGATGTTGTTTAGATTGTTCTCTCCCACACGTAAATCAGCACAAAGGGATAGTAGGGAAAAGGGCTCAAGAACTTGGAAAGGATCCACCTTTCTTGCTGCTTCAGACCTTTTTCCTCCCATAGCTATTAAATCTGAATTAAGCTTGCTTTCTGCCACTCTTCATCTCTCCTTTTAGCATCAGCCCCTTGGTCCTCTGGGTTGTGTATAAAGACATATAACTTAAATTCATTGCCATTGTTCTGGATTATTTACTGGATTTTTATCTCCAAGTCAGCATGGAGAAAGGAAAAGAGTAGAAAACTATGTATTAGCAAGTCTTTTTTTGTTTTGATCTGTACTTTTGCCTTTTGTCTGTACACAACTTTCCTGTTTTAATTGCTGACTCGGAGTAGGGTCCTTTCCCCTCTGTCCCCCAAGGAACTGCAGCAAACCCCCCAATTTCCACTTCATATAGTGATGCACAGTACACTGCATTTTGTGTCTGAGGAATGGAGCTTTATTTAGGAACAAACTGCTCTTCAGCTGAGGTACAGTGACCTTCCCAGAGAGTGGTGAAGGAGGGAATCAGTCAGTGCCTGTTGCAGCAATGTCTTTGTGCTGCAAACCTGATCACGTTCTGAATCAGTGTGTGGCTCTGGTGTCTTGCTTGGCTCTACAACTCAGGCCACTTCTGCTCCTCAGAGATACCATAAGTTCAAATGTATCTGAAAGGGTCTACAATGATTGCTGCTTAGAGCTGTGCATTGATTTGCCTGGGACTTCTCACAGTGGTTTTATTGAGGTATCCATTTTCTAGTTCTGGTAATGGTAGGTCTATGCTCTGGGGTTGGGTGAAATCCAACTGCCCTGAAATCGATAGGATTTTTGGCTTTTGCTCTCTGGTAGGATCAGCATTTCACATCAGTATGTTCTCAGTACCCAAATTACAAGCTCAGCACAGGGTCTGGTGGTGCTAATTTTCTGTAACTGTAGATAACAATACAGTGAAACAACTGAGGCTTGTTCATCCTTGCGACTGGGATGAGTTAGTCTCTGCTCTTACACAGAGTCCTCTTTAATTCTTTCCAGGTTTCCAAAGTCTACCAAATGCCACAAAAATGAGTTTTAATGTTAGTTGTCAAATTTTGCTCAGGCTGAGAGGGATTTGTTCTTTCACAATTGTATGTTGAGGGAGATGTATGTAGCATTCACAAAGAGCTCAAAATTAAACTTGCAAGTAAGAATAACTTTCAAACTTACCAAGACAAAAAGGCTTCCAGCTGGTTTGCTTCTGTGGTAGATGGAAAATCCAGAGGCCAAGCTGCTTTTTCTTCCTATATTACCCGATGCTGTGGATTGTTAATCTGCAGTTGGAGCTGAAAACAGCTTTTGTCTTTCTCTGTTAGATCCAAGCTGTGTGGAGGAATTGGGTTTCTCCATGCGATAACCAGCTAACTACTCAGTTAAAAAAGGGAAAAAGTGCTGCTCCAGGATGTGTTATTCCAGAAGAGAGAAAGAAAGGGTTGGGTTTTTTTGCAACTGCAGTGTTTTATTCTCACATGCAGAAGTGCTCTAACCAGGCACAGCTGACCCAGATTCCATATACATCACTTTTGGACAGTGTTGTTTTAAACAAACACACACTGGGCTCAGCGTTCGGCCCACCGGTGATGTCACCGCGAGCACTCGGAGCACAGCAAACTCCTCCTTCGGATTTCCTATCCATACCCTCCAGAAAAGGAGGGGGGTAGGGAGGCTGAGAGGTTAGGAACAAGGAAAGATTGTTTGCCAGTAGAAGGGAGGTACCATATGGCAACGGACTGTGCAAGAGTTCAGCAGAAAAAAAATTTTACTACGCTGCCTAAAGATGCCTTTCAAGTTATTACAGTACTGGGCTTCATTTAGAAGAAAGATTCTTTCAGGCTGATAAAACTGGATTTGTGTTGCTGGGAATAAAAGGGGCAGCCTGGCTGGATACAACAGGAAAAATGAGCCATTTGTAGTCTAGAAGAATTCGGCAGAATGTCGCCTTCGATTCTTGACGTTCACTTAATAAGAAACAGTTCCAGTTGTTAAACGCTCCAATACATGTGGAAAATGTTAAAGCTCTGTGTGTGTGTGTGATGGGTTTGGGTAGGTATCAGAATATTTGATAACATCTGACTGGTGTTAGAAGTAGCAAAAGCCATGGAGATTACACTCTGTGAGGAATGCAGGATCTGTGTTTGGTTCTGGCCATACTCAGCCAGCACTGAAGTGCATTCAGTTTGCTGCCATTGATCTTGTTGGTTTCTTCACCAAGGCATTGCATTTGAAAAGAGAATCACCTTAGGATGCTTCCAAAAATATTTTAGCTTTCCTAGAAGTGCATTCAGTAGGTTTAGGGAACTGCTCTCTACGGAAGAGATGTTGATTCAGCTAAAAGGAAAAAACAGTCTCTAATTGAGCAAGTCATTCAGAGAGACAATCCTCCACACATAGTTGGCAAATTCCTGCAGATTAGTGCAGGTGCCTGGTAGAGTGACTTTCCTTAATTACAGTTAATAAGCATGATTTAAAAAAAGGCAGGTTTGGGACTTTTAAGGCTTGTTTGGACACAACTTAGTAACATTACGTTCAGGACAGCGTAGGTAGCTCAGCAATGAAATGTGACTACTTCATTCTGATCATCCTGTCTGGTTTTTAATAAACTTCTAGCAGAGTAGAAGATTGAGAGATTGAGTAGTATATCAGGTCATGTGTAATACCTTTTTATTCCCTGTTTTATATGTCACCTTTCAGCCACAGGTATTTTAATTTGCCGGTGTGTGTGCGCACACACGCGTGTGCGCGTGTTGGTCTTGGAGAGGTGCCCAGAGTTTTCCAGCTCACATTCGAGGGCTGTGCTGGTTAGGTGCTGCACAAACACAACTGCTGCTCTTGTGAGGTTGAATTAATAGTCTTCCACCTGTAAAGCCAAACTCCTTGTTATGATTTTGGTTACACAAGGCTGAGAGGTGAAGCAAAATAGAATTTGAAAAATTCCCTGTTGATGAAATAAGTTTCTGAAATAACATTATTGAAGTCTGTGTGTCTTTAGAATTGGGATATCTTGTGAAAGGTGCAGGGGGTGAAGAGCAGTTCCTCTTAGCAGCAGAGTCGGTCAGGGTGTGCTTCATTTGGTTGAGACAAAAATGATCGGCCCTTGGATGAAGTTCAAGAAATGGAGTTGCATTTAGAATTAAAATAAGCAGTTTATCTACAGCATTAGTGTGTAAGAGGAGGATTTGCCTCTCTACATGATCAGGGGATTGAAAGAGGAGTAAGATTACAAACAGTGTGGGGGAAGGAGGCAGGTAGAAGACTTAAATTGACTTATCTCTAAGGCTGTTGGATCTCTGGAGCTGTGATCATTCTGAACGATAGGATTAGTTCTGCATTTCAGTCTTTTCCTTAGCTAGCTTTTCCCATGTTGCTGCAAGTTGAATTGGACTTTTTATTCAGCTTAAAGAGTTACAGGCATAATTTTCCTTCTATTGTTTTTTTTTAATTGCTGGATTGGAGGGATGACTCCCTAAAATACATCATCTACAGTCACCATGGTGTGCTGCAGAGGAGGAAATAAATCCTGCCCACAGTCCTGCCTGTACTCCTGCCCTCAGCATCCACCAGGACAGCTCAGATAAGGCTGACAAGGCAAAGGATTTGGTGATTGAGGGGTTCAATCCCAGACATCGGTGACACAGTGATGTACTTCCCTCTAAGCCCAAGCATTATTGCTGTCATACTCTAAGGTCTGAAGGCTCTTGGAGATCTTATCAAAATGATTTCTCGGGCAGCTCCAAAGTACTATTCTGAGACAACCTGACACGTTAGTCAATGAAAGCAAAATCCTTCACAATACTGTTAGTGAGGTGCCTTTTCTACTGCTAAATGCAAGACACTAACCAAAGAAACTCAACTCTAATCTTTTCCAGGTATTTACCTGTCAGACTTGACATATATTGACTCTGCCTACCCCTCCACTGCCAGCATTCTGGAGAGTGAGCAGAGAACAAACCTAATGAACAACATTCTGCGAATTATCTCGGACTTGCAGCAGTCCTGTGAATATGGTAAGCTGTTGTCTAAAGATTGCAGTGCTCAAGAGAACTTTACAGGCTTCAATATTGTTCTGCTGTAAGGCAGTTAAGTAAGGCCTGACCCATGTGAGTGCCATTAACAGCCTCCCTCATCCTCTCAGCCCAGAAGTCTGGGTTTATTCTGGTATTGCTGGTTATGACAGAGCTCACTAAGAAGGGACTGTGAGCTGTGAAGGAGTCCTGAGACACAGCCCTCCGCATTCCAGGCTTGGGCCTTCATTTTGGCCAGGGATGTTGTCTTACTTTTCCCTTACCTGTGCTCTGATCAGCAGAGCAGCTCTAGGGTTTATGGATGTGGAGTGTCAGCTCAGTGCATGAGAACTGCCACGGAGTTCTGAGATTTCAGTATCACTAGGGGCTGTGGTTTGTACCTCCATCTCACATAAAAAGGCAAGAGATAACTTTGCTTACCAGTGAGTGGTGCAGTGATAATGAATGTTATCTCTTCTCCAGATATTCCTATGTTGCCTCATGTCCAGAAATATCTAAACTCAGTTCAGTACATAGAAGAGCTTCAGAAGTTTGTAGAAGATGACAATTACAAGTAAGTACAAAATGCTATGACTGACCCTAACTCGTAACAAGATAACCTTGATGACACCAATCCTGTCACTTGTGAGACTGCACTTGTGTCAGAGGGTTGTATCATTGTATGGGAACCCCTGCCCATGGGTTTGGGTGAGCTTTCAGGTTCCTTCCAGCCCAAACCAGTCTGTGATTCCACAATCAACCACCTCAGATGCACAAGTCACAAGCAGTTGGGGTTACAGTAGGATCTTGTGCTCAAGACATTTTTCCACATGCTGGATGGCATATCTCTTTCCTTTTCCATGTCAGACTGCACTAAGCCCTGGCTTTCAGGTCTGATAAGGATTGTGTACACCTGGCTCAGCTGTAACACTGCTCAGTCAGGAAGGTGGGCTCCATGACTGGAGGTGGCTTATGTCCTTCTTCATCAGAACAAAGTCACTTGTGCATCCAGTCCCAGGGTCTTACTGAGGGTGACTTTAGGCTTTTGCTTTCAGATATATTTAATTTTCATTTTATACTTTTCTCTGAGATCAGTTACACAGTGTGAGCAAAATGTAAGCACTTGATTTTTTTGACAGGCAAGTTACTGTCCATGTGTCTCTGCCTGTTCCTGCCACCTGAGGTTTCTACTTCCTTAATTAAAAGATTATTACTGTATTAAGTGATTTGGCATCCAGCAAAAACTGGGGGTGGGAAATCTCTGGCAAGAGACAGGAACTAGCCCTGAGGATAGGAAACACCCTAAAGCAAATTTGTGGCCTATGAAGGAAGTTTTTGTTCATTGGCTGATGTGCTCGAGGAGGTTCCCCACCCATTCCCATCCTGCCCGCCCGGGAAGTTTGTCACCTCGGTGGGCTTGAATTGGCTGCTTGTGTAGCTGCATGGGAACGGCAGGAGGGGTATGCACACTGCAGGAACTGATATGCTTTGCCATTTAATAGCCCTGACTTGGATTTACTAAAAGGCAGCAGCTGGGGACCCTTCAGTTCGTCAGAGAGCAGTTAATGAGGACTCAGAGCCTTTGCTTCCCTGCTGAGGTTTGAGTTGTTCACTGCACATCCCTGTGCAAGAATTCAGCTTTGCCTCTTTGCTGAGGTGTTCTACAGCCTCATTTGGGAGGTGTTGCTAGCTTATCACTGAGAGTAAAGCTCTGTGGTCAGAAATTTGAAGGAGGGAAAAAAAAGCCATCCTAACCCCAAGTTTCTTACCTGCAGTGTTTGTTTCTTAGTGGCATGTTTGTTTTCATGAGCTCCACGCTCTGCCTTTCTCCTCCTGCACTAGGTAGGACTCACTGCTGGTGGGAATTGTACTGAGGAAGGAGCCACAGTCTCTGCAGCCTGTACAATTATGTTTGGGGAGCAGGGAACTGAGTGAAGGCCATGGCACATGGATCAGCAGCGTGGCTACTGTGCACAGTGTCTGCTGTTACACCAGGGGGGTTTGTGCATCTCCAAGCCAAATGTTTTTATGGCCAAGTAGTGTATTTTGAAGAACTATTCGTACTCTAAGCGACTGGTTTACTTTTTATCCCCTAAGGTGTTTGTCAGCAAAAAGGTTGAGGTTAGACAACAGCCACTGTGACATGAATACAAGTGTTTTCTTCCTATTTTTAAAACTTCAGCTATAAAGTTGTAGTGAATCATTGCTAAACTGGGGATCAGAGGGAGAGGAGCTCTTAAACTTTTCCCCAAAATCAATTCTTCTCCAACTCTGGTAATTTCCAAGATTCTGGTTGTGCACATTGTGTGGACAGAATATGCTTGATCTTCCCAGAGTTTTCTGCTCCTGGAGTCTGCCTCCTTTGTGGGTCTCTTGGAAATGGCATTAAAATGTGCCTCTTGCAGAAAAAGCTTGAGTTATGGATGGAATCAAGATGATAATGTGTTTTCCAAAACACAAAAGGATTTTGGCCTTTGGACCAGTAAGGACGAAAGTTTTGGCTTAGCACACTAGTGCACTTTATAGAAAGATTTAAAATACAAAGCGTTCCAAGCAGAAATATTTCAGTCAAGGTGGGGGAAGCAGTTGTACATTTTCTTATTCTTCCCAAGTTTTATGTTGGAGTAGTAGTGTCATCACTGACTGAGCTCCATGTCTGTCAGCCATCCCAGGGCCACAGAGGTCCCGGCTTATGTGTGGTTGTTTTCCCTGGAAGGTGGTGCCAAGTGGCAGCTCTTCCCCTGCTCCTTCTACAGAGTGACTTGGCTGAGTTCTCGTGGAGTTTTTGCTGACCGAGGGTGGCAGTGGCCTCCTGTGGCTGCTTGTGGCCTGCTGTGCCAGCTGTGTTGGGCTCCCTGGTGCAGGAAGGGGGAGCAGGGCTGGGCTGCAGCCAGGCCTTTGCTGTGGAGACTGCTCTTCTCTCAGCGTGGTGTTGCCAGCCTGGCTTGGTCTGGATGAACCAAAGCAACAGGCAGGAAACATCAGCTTTGGAAGTGGTATGAGCTAAAGATAACTGTGCAGTTTGTGTGAACCTCATGGTATTTCTTGCAGTGGTAGAAACAGGCAGATTTCAGTTGTAAAGTCAAATACTTTTTCACAAACTCACATTTCTGTTTCCTGATGAAGTAACTTTGAATGTTTCTTCAATGCAGACTTTCCTTAAAGATAGAACCAGGGACCAGCACCCCCCACTCTGCTGCTTCCAGAGAAGATTTAGTAGGTAAATGCTTAATCAATGTGAGAAGACCTGAGGTTGTCATGTGCATTATTTGGGAATTGCAAATGTGGAAAATGTTTGCCTGAGGCCTATAAAGAAGTGTGAAGTTTAAACACTGTGTATTTGTAATAAAAAGTCTAAAGTTGATCTGTAAAGAATTTATGTGAAGGAATCAAGTAATTTTTTTGAGTTCTTGTATGTATTGTGGCACCAACTTGGTGGTGTCATTTGGGGTGAAGAGCTATTAAATACTCATTCTTCGTTGTGTCCAGACAGAAGGGCCTTCACCTAAACATTTCATGGGATAATGTCCTTCCAAAAATGGACATTCCTTTGGTCCTTCACTTTGCCAAAAGTGGTTGAAGGCAGGAGTTTGAAAATGTAGAATCGGTGGGATATGTTCAATGCCAGTGTAGCTAGCGCAGCAACCTTTAGGGCTTAGAAATCCCTTGTAACTGGATGATCTGAGCTAAGTGTCTTTGGGTTTACCCCTGTGCAAAATTCCTGAAGTCCAGGGGCTTTGTTATCAATATATCCATGAGTTTTGTCACAGACTGTCTCCTATAAATTGACACATGGAGGTTTTGTGCAACTTTTCCCCAGTTTTCTGAGTAGTAACCTTGACAGTGACTCTGAATGACTTGGGAGTGATACCTCTTTTCTTCCCAGGCTCTGAAGTTGGAGCATCTCCACAAAGTGGGCGGAAAAACGTTGCAGCTGAAGGAGCTTTGCTGCCACCAACACCTCCTTCTCCTCGGAACCTGATACCACATGGGCACAGGAAGTGTCACAGTCTGGGATACAAGTCAGCATTTTGCTTCATCTCAAACTCCTAAGCTTTGTGATTGAAAATTTTTCATTACAAAATCTTTCATGACTCATTCAATACAAAAAGCTTTGCTTGTAAGAAGTAGCATAATTTATCTACAGAATACTTCCCTAACAGAGCAATTTGTGGTCAGGGACCAAGCTCAGGGCTCTAGTGGTGGTCACCAAACCCAAGAGTAGTCAGAACAGGAAGACTGAAGTTGTGATAAGACTAGCCAAGGAGTTAACCCAAATGGCTCATTCTGAATGACAAAACTATCACTTTTAACAACTCAGTGCCAGTGTAGTTATTTCAAATTCAAAATTAACTGCTTTAGTGGCATTTTTATAGGGAGACCTCCTTTGTAAGGCTGTCACATATCTGTGCAGTAATGGCTTCAGGTTAGGTGTACTCCTAATTAATGTCTTGGTCATTGTGTCATCAATTCCCAGGTCATCTTTTCAAAACACAAGATTGTAGCAATACAGTAATTGATAACTTCCATTGTGTAAGGTTAATGAGCTAGGATGCAATTCTGCAGTTCAGTTATGTGTTACAGCAAGACAAAAATGCCTTGGGATATTGAAAGTGATTGTTGATGTGCTCCTGACTTTGTTGCATGAGTATTGTGCAGCTTTCAAAGGAGCAAATCCTGTAGCTAACACAGTTTGTGCAATTGCAGCTTGTGACTAGAGCCATGGTTTGGTCTGGCACTAGGAACACACAGCATGCACCTGAGTTATTGAAACACCTTCTGAAGCATATCAGAGACAGTGCTCTAACAGTTCTATCCTGGTTTGTCTCCAGTTTCATCCACAAGATGAACACAGCTGAATTCAAAAGTGCAACATTCCCCAACGCAGGACCAAGGCACCTCCTGGACGACAGCGTCATGGAGCCTCACGTCCCGTCCCGAGGGCAGGCAGAGAGCTCCACCCTTTCCAGTGGGATCTCAATAGGTAGGAGCTGCAAACATACCTGTGCAGCATGTGTTCTTTCAGTAAGGATCTGAGCACTGTGAGGTGGTGATTGCACCTGAAGAACTGCTGTACTAAAATACTGCTCTGTCTTGGGACAAATTGGAGAAGTGGAGGTGGAGGAGGGTGACACAATCCATACAGCATGAACTGAGGAGCTATAAAGAAGCAGATTTCTTTAATGATACAACTTCTGATGCTCTTCCTGGATGGAGGTGGGAGGAAGTGCAGGGCATAATTTTCTGTTCTCTTTTTTCCCCCTTTAATCAATCCATGTTTGAAATACCTTATGGAAAGGTTTCTATTTAAAATGCCACATTGTCTTGACAGTGAGAACTCTAAATTGCTGTTTCAAGAGCATAATTTCTAAATACTTCAGACTTTGTCAGGAGGAGGTAGAAATTTAACTTTCAGATACCTCAAAATGTCAGAATCTACTTAATTTGGTAGGTTAGCTAGCTTCAAATATTTAGGGGGGTATTCTTTTTTGAGAACTTTTGCTTCCTGAGGTTCATCAGTGACAGGAGTTGCTCTTTCTTGCTGTTAACACACAGATCCTCAGTGTGAAGGGAGGGCAGGGCTAGAGCCTCTCAGATCCACCTGTTTGCAGCCAGGGTGAGGAATGGGTTCTCTCACTGCAGTCCTTGTTCTCAGGTTTATTAGCTTGATAGATTTCAGTGGTGTTCAATTTTTATGCATTTATGGTAGTAAAAGATCTATGTCGTGTTTCACGTTTCTTTGGGCAATTGAATTTTAGAAAACAGTTCTGCATTTTAGCCTTCACAGAGAGAAATGAGGTCAGAGAGTTTCAGATTATGCTGTTTTCAGGAGCTTTGCATCTGTTTTCCTGAGGAGCAGGCAATATCCTGAGCAAACATTAAATATTTCATGTGGAAAGAAACAAATATCTAGTGGCTATAATTAAAAAAGAAAAGTTCGTAAGTAAATCTGTGGAATTAGACCAAAGTAGTTGGTCTAAGTAAACCTGTTCACTTCAAACAGCTTCCACTGCTGAATGTGCATTGCCTGACTGTTCTCTGCAGCTTCTCTGCCATGGCAAAGTTTGCCATTTCCCAGTCATCCATCAGGATTGCTGCTTCTCCTCAACATTCAGGGTTTGCACAGGGCAGGAGAACCAAACAGCTGTCACCTTTGCTGAGATGCAGCACTGTCCTTTTCTCAGGGCAGTTCTTGGTTTATGTTTCCTATCTAAATATCTAAAACTCTCTGCAGCTGATCCTTTTTTCCAGGGTGAATTATTTCTTTGCCTCCCTGAGAGCCTAGCAGGGAAGGTTTGCCAGAGCTCACAGGCAGTTTTTCGTGAGCTGGTCGAGAAAGGGTTGCCATCCAAGTATTTTGGAAAACACAGGGTTTTCCTGCTTTGTCTCATCTCTGATTTTCTCAGTTCTGCTCTCTAGCTCAGGCATGACCTTACCAATTTGCTGTAATCACCCTTACAAGCTGGAACAAAATTGCCACTTTAGAAGACTTGTATACAAGATTTGTGAAACAACAACCTTAGGCATTTTGTGCAAGGTCAGCAGTTGTGGTTGGATCTTCCTCTCTCCCACTCTCTGCCACCTCCAACCTCCCCACACTGGGCTGCTTCAGTTTTCTCTCTGTTTTGCCCGTCTGGCATCATTGTCATTTTTCCTGCTTCTTGATTATGAAGACTTCAGTGACTCAAAAGTTTGGTAGAGGTGCTAGAAATAAGTATGGAGGAAAAGAGTGAGTCCTGGAGGTTTGCAGTGTCTGTTACCGCCGAATTCTTGGAAATGTAAGTTGTCTGGCATCCTGTACTGCTGCCTCAGCAGGATTTAAGGAAGTTGATTGAAGCTGCTGAGTTCCTCCATCATGTTTGAAGTAGTCTGTTTACTCAGGACTTGGAAGTAGTACAGTCACTGCAGCAGAGAGGAGGTTTATGGTATTCTACATCACACTTCAAAAGATGGTAAGGAAAATGTCTCCTGAATGTGTGTACTGAAAAGAGTGTTATTCCTCACCTTGCCCATAAACGTGGATTTAAACCTGTTGCTCCAGGAACAGGACTACCTTTTTTACATATAAGCCTATATAGGACTTAACTTTTTGGTTTAATGTTCCCTCTTCAAAACATGGGCAGAGTTTCTGCCATGCCAGCACCTTCAGTGTGCCTCTAAAGGCGACTGTAACACCACCTTAAATCACTCGTGTGTTTGAGGCCTCGGAGTGTTCAGACCTTTCCAATCCTTTCATACTGGAGGATTTGGTATAATCTGCCTCTATGTTAAATACCAAAACAGCAGCAAAGTGACAGTAGCGTCTGTCGGGATCCAGCAGTGTGTGTCTACACTAAAGACACACGTTGAGGTGGTGATGGACAGCGTTGTGTAGTGCTGGGAAAGGCTGACAGTCCAGTCTGGGAATGGGGCAGAGCATACCAGAACTTTTACATCTATGTAGTTCATCTTTCAGAGATGAAGGATGCTAAGTGGGTGTTTTTCATTGCTATGAGTGATTCCTAAAGCAGCAGCAATGCTGAGTATGAGCCAGGTATGGGATTTGGGGAAAACAGGCCAAATCTGGGACATGACAGCTGTGGGCAGAGACCTTTATCAGATTCTTCTCTTAGTTTCAGTGGTCAGAGGCTGATTGTGTGCATTTAACTCCTCCTGTAAAAAAAAATAGGACTCAAAAATATTAAAGATATAGCCCCTTTTACATTGATTTCTTGTGATTGGGTTAAAACAGTCCTTGTTCCTAGAGCTGTGGGTGGTGTGTGAGAGAGATGTACATCTTCCTTTGGAATACAGGTGCTCCTTAGCTGGACAGAAGTGAGAAGCCTTTTTCCAGCAGCTATCCTAATTAGAAGGAAGAACCACTTGTCCAGTCCTTTATACAGTATCAGATGGGAAATGTTCTCTTGAATTCAGGAATGTAACAATAGGAAATGTCTCTTGTCACTTTTAGGTGTTCATAACTTAGCAGCTTTACTTGAGCTGGGTATGATTGGAGCTCTTTATAAGCACATGGAGAATGAAGCTCAAGGATATGATTGATTTCATTCTTAGGTGTGGGCTGAAAAGAGGTTACATGACTTGAGTCCTTAAACCCACTCTTGGTTTCTGTTGCTTGCAAAGAGACTTTTGAAGGACGACACATGAAAGCACAGCAGAAAACATCTGGTTTGTGCAGACAATCCAGAATGTCTGCTCCTAGTAAGGAGGGGCAGATGCTTTTGCTTTGGACTGAAAGTTCATGGAGAGCCCTCAGTACTTGCTATCAGTAAGCCTGAAAGCTCCATGATGGTTTTGCTCCGCAGTCACTCTGTTTTGGTGAGCTCACTGTGTACACTCCTGCCCTTCTGAGGTCTAAGCATTGCTCTGGGCTGGGCTCAAAGAACCACCTGCCTGTTCTGACCACCTGTTCTCCTGCCTGTGTTTGCCTGCTGTCACCTCCTCCCCTAAAAGTAGGATAAATTAAGATACTTTTACTAGATTGTGGTTCCACTCAGAAATCACATGAAATTTCCTTTCATTCATAAGATATTTTCCTGAAGAGTAGATGGTTTGCTACGAGTTCATTATTTTCTTATACTTTCAGTGTATTTCTTTATTGCTAAAGTGTGTTGGATTTCCACCATTTCATATGATTTGGCTCTGTTCTATTACTGAATTTCTTTTCTCAAGCTGAGTCTGTTTACAATGGCCGATTGTTCAGATAACTCTAGGAGCAAAGGGGCAGTGTAACGTGGGTCCCACTTCCCATACATTGCTTCTGTGTGGCTTTTCTCCTCCTGCAGCACCAAACCTACAGGATGCAAAGTACTTTTGCTGAGGAGGTTGTTTTTTTAGAGTACTGTCTCACAGACAGGACTTAAAAACAGATGTCAAGGTATGAACACAGAAATGCTGAAATTGAGCATGTGACTTTAGATCTTTAAAGATTCAGAGGAAACAATTATGGTTTGTAGCAGCATTGGATACATATCTCTTCTAACTTTGGGGTGTTTTCCTTCTATTTTTTTCCACTTATTTTTCCTACTCTGCAATGATATGGATGAAAGCTCTGGGAAAACTAAGGCTCTTGAGTATTTGCCTTTGTTTGTGTGTTGCAATCACTTGGGAATTATGTTAGACTTTGTGCTAATGCACTCAGAGGAATTAATGCTGTGGAGTCAAGGAAGGTATTTGAAATAATATTTTAAATTTCAACCTTGATGATTCCATGATTTTATGACTCTAAATCAGTGTGGATTAATATAAGAAAGTGCCTTTGTAAGAACAGTACATTTACAAACCTAAAACTGGCATGAAATATGTCAGGAATATCAGCATTTTAATGGATTCCTCTATTAAGTCACCACCTCGAAGTTATTGAGTCCTGCAAGGGATTATATTTCTCTTCAAATAAATGGGGGTGTAGGTATACAGTGTGTGCTTTGACTTTCAGGGGTTTGGCAGCCTGTGCAGTAGGGAAGACCTTCACACAGCCAATGTCTGTCTGATTCCTCACCCTGCCGTGAGTCATCGCCGCCTGCGTCAGGACATGGGAGTTTGGCTTGGGTTTCAGGCCCAAGAAATATGTTGGGGGTTTTATGTTTCCTTTAAATGAGTGTGTAGGTGCCTGTCTCTTGCCCTAGATGTGGATACTCTGGTTTGCTACTGTGATTTGCCACTGCTTCATTAGTGCTAGGGTAAATTAAACAGCTGTAGAGTACTGGAGGTTGAAAAGGCACATGTAGGTGCCTGGATGAGAGGAGGAGAGGGATATGTTCTAGCACCCCAATCCTTGTTAGTACTGCTTGGTCCAAGGCATATGCTCTGGGTGTTTTGTGGTTGTTACAAACCCCTGTTTCTGCCATGTCTTCATACATTTGGTGATTTGCTTCTGTTCATTTTGCACAGTGCAGCTGATTGTCAGTGATGGTATTAAAGGTTGTACCAGTTCTCTGGCACAATGTTGCCTGAGTCCTTTGCCAGTCATCCCACCATTCTTACTTGGTTAACTAGGGAGACAAAGTTGAGCTATTTAATTACAAGAGTTAAATGGTAATTAACATATATTCATATATAGACTGCAGGGAAGTCTAGGTTGGATGTGAGGAGAAAAAAGTTTTCCCTGTTGTGGTGGTGAGACACTGTCCCAGGTTGCCCAGAGAAGCTGTGGCTGCCCCAACCCTGGCAGTGTTCACAGCCAGGTTGGATGAGCCTTGAGCAACCTGCTCTGGTGGGAGGTGTCCCTGCCCAGGGCAGGGGTTGGGACTAGATGATCTTTAAGCTCCATTCCAACCCCTGAATTCGCTGATTCTATGATATGAGGATTTTCAATATGGTCATAAACTCAAACAGGCAGAATAGAACGTTTTGGTCATGGTGTTAGCTGGGCTCTGTTGAGCTACAGTAATTGATGTTCAGACCTCTCAACCAGTTTTTTAGGCTTTCATGTTAGAATTTCAAGCTCTTTCAGGTCAGTCACCAGCACTGGAAACACTGGAGCTGGAGCCAAGAGAGTGTCGATGACAGATTTGAGAAGGGGAAAGAATTTTGAGTCTGAATGCTTTTCAAACTCTTTGGGGTTGGTTTGTTTATATTAACACCTGTTTGACTTTGGGGACTAACTCCTGGATAAAGGAAGCCTGTGTGAAGTGTTCAATATCCCCAGGCTTTCAGCAGTGAGTGGATGCTGTGACCAGGGGAGTGGGTATGGAATAGTGTAGGCATTCCCTATCACAGTGTGTCTGGAGCACAGCCAGCTGTGTGTGCACATCTGCAGATGTGAACAGAAGAGTCACATCTCAGTTGAGCTGCAGTGCCAGAGCTGCATAAACAATCCTGAGCCTTCTCAGATAATCACCAGCACAGTTAGCAAAAAAACCCATTTTGCCAATTTTTGTTATTCCTGAGCTAGGAAAAAGCCTTCATGGTAAGGAGTAAAGATAAACACAACTCAGATGTTTTGTTTTCTTTAATCCTGCACAAGAAATATTTAGTTTTGACCAGGAAGATAGTGCTTGTGTTACGTGACTGCTTACATACAGCCAAAACCTGTTTAGAGCATCAGTTAATAGATGATACTCTACCAAAGATTTGCTATTAAGTTTAACCTGAAGACTTGCTCAAGGTTGTTAGAAAAACTCAAATATTGAGTACATGCTTGAGAAGAATTTAAGAAGGTGATATGTTTTTCAGGTACTGGATGAATGAAATATTTCCAGTTGAGGTGACAGTCAAATAGTGCACTTAATGTTTCAACAGAACTTGGCTAGACATCTGACTTTTATCAAGTTCAAAATGAGTTCCTTTCACCTCTGTGGTGTTGTGGAGAGAGGGATGGAATAGATATTCCTTTGCTTTTCAGCAAAGGGTTTTTTAGTATCAGAACTTCTGTTGTGCAAAATATGTCCTGGGGTTTTTTAGAATCTAAAACATCCTGTTGGAGATGTTCTATATGGATGTTAGAGGGATAGTCAAATGCTAAAATTCAGCCTTTTCCATGGTTTTGTGACAATTTTCTAAAATGTTAAATCAATAGCTGTAGTGTTTGGCCCAATTTTTATACAGATTACATTGGTTTTAAAAGTATAATTGGCAATTTCTGTACAGATAAAACTTTCTAAGTGGAACTTTTTGCTTGCAAAAACTCATTGAAGTTTTCTCACTGTACTGGTAGTG